ACTGTGTTACACCGAGGCACAGTGAAGCATTTACTTTTGTTCCGGGTGTAATCGCTTATGGGTTGTTGAAGGTGAAGTCAGTGTTTAGTGAGCGTTTGGCTCTGATTAATCGACCTGGCTTCTGTGAGGTGAGATACGTATTTGCTAGGATGGCTGGCACTAGCCACGAGACCACTTTATATTGGAATGTTACATGGAGCTTTTCTCGTCTGTCTTTGAGAGTGGAGGGGGGGGGGCTGGTTAAATCTTTTTAAAAGGTCAGTGACGAAGCCAGGAGTGGTGGATTTGTAGTCACGTGCGATGAAGCGCACCGCGTTACGTTGTGTTCGCGCCATCTTTAGGTGTGGGTCCCAGGTGATCGCACCATATTCTAGTAGTGGACAGACGAGTGCAAGATAGGCATCTCGTTTGCAGGAGGTTGGGCAGTGGCGCAGATTTCTTCGAATGAAACCTAATAGTTGAGTTAGCTTTTTTTTAAAAAATTTTGTTTATATGGGGTGATCATTTTAGGTTATTCGAGACGAGAACTCCAAGGCATGGATTATTTGATACTTGTTGGAGAATTTTCTTGTTTAAGGAGTACATATAGGTTGATGGTTCTTTTTTCTTGAGATGCTCATTGTGTAGAATTTGGTTTCATTAAATTTCATGCCCCATTCGTCCGTCCAATTCATAAGGTGGTCATCGTAGCCGTTCATCTCTCTGTAGACAAGACAGTCATCTGCAAACAGCCTCGCTTGAGATTTTACAGTATCAGGGAGGTCGTTTATATGACAGAGGAAGAGAAGGGTGCCCCGCACTGTACCCTGAGGAACTCCTGAGTCTACACTGGCTTTGCCTGACCAGTCGCCATGTACCACTACTTGCATGGTCCTTTGTGTTATGAATGTTGAGAGCCAGGAGTGAATGTTGCCGGTAATGCCGTAGAAGTGGAGCTTGTGTAGGAGAAGGATGTTTGGAACAGTGTCGAAGGCCTTCGAGAAGTCGAGAATTGCCATGTCGTTACCTTTGTCATAGGAGGAAAGAAGGTCATTGGTGGTGAAGATTAATTGTTTCTGTTGAGAATCCAGAGCAGTAACCGTGGTTTGGGTTGGTCAAAATGTTGTAGTGTGCAAGGTGGTTCATGATGTGGCGACAGATGATGTTTTCTATAATTTTGCATGGGAAGGAGGTGAGGGTTTGCTGTGTTATGGCGGTCACCTTTCTTGTAGTCACTATAAGGGATGTTTGTATCACGCTAGGTAAGCTGCCGGCTTATTTATAGAGAGGGAGTTAGAACCCCCAGAAAAGAAATTCTAGAAATTGCATCACTCGATAGTATTCTTTAGAACGAAAACAACCCTATCCCAATCAAGAGAACGGCGGGGTTGAACAGCGTTACACATTTAATCGGTGACGTCAATATATAAAAATATATTTTAAAAAGGGAAACAAGACTAAGTGGTGGTCGGCATAAAAAAAAGTAGGTCAAGACACATGTTATAACAGTGATATTATTAGATCTCTTGAATAGTCAGTTTGATCGATGTTTGATATCAGATGATGAATAAAGCTACATCATTATAAAGTAACGTGGGTTACCTTATAGAGTTTCCTCCCCTTCTTAATCTTTCTTATTTCTAGTTTGATCTAGACTATTCACACACCAAAAAAAAAAAAATAAAAAAAAATATTTAAAAAAATCAACAAGTCCTGAGCCTCTCTCTTTTTCCAGCTCAATTGACCTCTTGCCAGTTCTCTACAATTCTTTATCTTCACCTCTTCACTAGGTGTTGCAGGGTCTGCCTCCGTCGCTGCTGTGCTAGAGAATTAATGGTTTCTTATGCAAGATGAGCTTATACAATTTTGTTTTAAGTTGGTGTGTAAGGTTTTGGGGGGAGGGGGAGCAAGGATGTAGGAGCTGATTATGAATTGCAAGATTTCATGAAGTACGCAGAACTCCTCAACGGGTTATTTTGAAAACTTTCTCCAGATTCAGTCAGACAATTTTACCATCGACAATGAAACAATGGAGCTGAACAAAGATGCCACAACACAAGGCACCGTAGCATCACAAGTCACAAGTCAGTGAAGATAGGCTGTGAGATGCCACAACACAAGGCACCGTAGCATCACAAGTCACAAGTCAGTGAAGATAGGCTGTGAGATGCCACAACACAAGGCACCGTAGCATCACAAGTCACAAGTCAGTGAAGATAGGCTGTGAGATGCCACAACACAAGGCACCGTAGCATCACAAGTCACAAGTCAGTGAAGATAGGCTGTGAGATGCCACAACACAAGGCACCGTAGCATCACAAGTCACAAGTCAGTGAAGATAGGCTGTGAGATGCCACAACACAAGGCACCGTAGCATCACAAGTCACAAGTCAGTGAAGATAGGCTGTGAGATGCCACAACACAAGGCACCGTAGCATCACAAGTCACAAGTCAGTGAAGATAGGCTGTGAGATGCCACAACACAAGGCACCGTAGCATCACAAGTCAGTGAAGATAGGCTGTGAGATGCCACAACACAAGGCACCGTAGCATCAAAAGTCAGTGAAGAGGACAGTGAGATGCCACAACACAAGGCACCGCAGCATCACAAGTGAGTGAAGATGAGCTGTGAGATCAAGATAAAATTAGCATTGGCTGCCTTGTTTTTGTTGGTGGTGAACTTATCCTAATGTATATTGGTGAGTCACTTGCTAATTTTTGGGTTTATTTCATTTTAAGGTACATCATTGGTTTACATGTTGATGGATTGTGCTAATTTTTATTTATCATTTTTATTTATTTTTTTATTTGATTGCTTATGTTTAAGACATAAATATTTATTTATTTAGGCATTTTTATATAGCGCTTACCATAAAGCTCTAAGCGCTTTACAATTATGAAAAACATGTAAACTAAGTAAAATAAAAATGAGACACTAGGATAGTAACTACTATACTATAGAAACAATGAAAATGGCTATAAAACGAGGAAATAGAATTAGAATGAAACTAGGTTGATGGTAGAAACTGTACAAAAAAATGACCTGTACAAAAATTATGAAAGTTAAGAATTTACTGACAACTTTTTTGAAAAAATTTTATTTAATTTTTATTGTTTATTTTATGTCTTAATTAAATCTGATAAAAATCACTTTCTACAGACATGCAAATTTGTTGAAAACATCCATCTATCCATCCCTGTGGCACTACAGCCCATGACATATAGTGCTTTGGCCTGCCTCACCACATCACTCCATGACATATAGTGCTTTGGCCTGCCTCACCACATCACTCCATGACATATAGTGCTTTGGCCTGCCTCACCACATCACTCCATGACATATAGTGCTTTGGCCTGCCTCACCACATCACTCCATGACATATAGTGCTTTGGCCTGCCTCACCACATCACTCCATGACATATAGTGCTTTGGCCTGCCTCACCACATCACTCCATGACATATAGTGCTTTGGCCTGCCTCACCACATCACTCCATGACATATAGTGCTTTGGCCTGCCTCACCACATCACTCCATGACATATAGTGCTTTGGCCTGCCTCACCACATCACTCCATGACATATAGTGCTTTGGCCTGACTCACCACATCACTCCATGACATATAGTGCTTTGGCCTGCCTCACCACATCCATCTATCCATCCCTGTGGCACTACAGCCCATGACATATAGTGCTTTGGCCTGCCTCACCACATCACTCCACTCAGACGTAGCTGATGCTTTCCTTTTCCATGTGCAGATTCCCAGCTGCTGTAGGACCCTCTCCATATCATCCATCCATCTAAGCCTAGTTCAGCCTTTGAGCCATTTTCCTCTGGGGTTTTGGTGGTGCACCCTCTTCACTCCTCAGTCATTCTTTTTTAATGTCCAGCCCAGCGTAGCCTGCCCTTTTTAATTTCTGCTACCCGTACTAGAGTTGGATCCTGATATAGTCTATACAATTCCTGGTTAGTTCGGATTCTGCATCCACCGTCATCCTTTGTTGGTCCGTATGTTTTCCGGAGAACCTGTCTCTCCCATGTGTTTAAAAGGATTTCTGCTGGGTTTTTTTATGGTCAAACTTTCACTTGCGTATGTTACAACTGGTCTGATGACTTTTTTAATGAATAGTTGTCTTTTTGTTCTTGTAATGTTTTTACTTTTGAGCATTTTGTGACTTAGTCTGCCCTGTTTCTGGCCAATATTCTTTCTTTTATTTCTGTTAGTAATTAATTTCTTTCATTTAATAAAGATGGTCGGTCCATTACAATATGTCCTCTCTTTCAGTTCTATATTTAGATCTCTGTATTCTTACTCAATGCGAAATAGTGCTTTTTCTTAAATGTACATCATATATTGTTACGTTACAAATTTAATACAAGATTTTGATATATCTTTACTAATTTTCCATAAGTGTTGTGTCATCAGCATATGCAAGATACTGAAGGGTTTGGTTATGGGTCTTCTGTTTTCCTCAAAAAGTATCCTGTTACTGTTCCTCATTTGCCAATATGTATGCTTTTTATAACTCTCTCCAATGTTAGGTTAAATACATACAAGACTGTACGCCTCTGGCCTCGTCAAATCTGAAATTCCCTTTAATATTCACCCTGAACCTTGATTTTGCTTTTTGAGTTGTGTAATATTCTATGTATCTGTCTTATCAGTTTTTTTGGGGTATGCCAAATACCAGAGTCTCCTATAGATATTTTCTTTTTAAACAGTCCTAGGCCATTTTATAGTTTACATAGAGTTTAAAACATCAGTTTCTTATATCTAGGCCCCCTTTTCTAAATATTTTGACCATTTTAACTCACAGTTCCAACAGTACAAAACCTAATTTGAAAAGTAGATGGCTAGAATCTTCTGAAACACAAATCAATATTCAGTTATTTAACATAATACAATTTCATAAACAGATTGTAATTAGTATTGAACAACAAAGTCAAGGTCATTTCAAAGACTTGATTTATTTGATTGTAATATTTACAAATACTCTAGCAATAAAAGCTGATAACAGCATGCATGAATGAAAATTAAAGTTTTATTTTTTAATCATGAACTATCAATGACTGATTAAAATTTTTAAAAAGTTAAATTATTATTAAATGATATACAAATAAACAAATCTTTTATATAGATATGGTCTTAATGTATGCATATACACTATAAATTATAAAATTAAATATAATTATTTTAACATCTTGGTATATAAAAGAACTTAATAGTATATGAATCAAAATTTAACAATACAACAGTGCAGTGCTCTAGAATCAATATAAATAATATAAATGAAAATTGGTTTTTGTTAAAGAAAATTGATTCATAAAAGAAAATGTGGTGTCCAATTTTGTAAAATTGGACTTACGTATTTGTCATTAATGATTGCTTTAAATTTGATTTGAATATTAATTTTTTTTATACTGATTATATAATTTATGGTTTAACAGTGTAGATTGCACTTGCATTAACAGAAATCAAAATATCATTTTCCCATTTTAAAAAAAATATTAAAATGCTGGATGAAGGAACATATTTTACTGTTTTTTTTAAATTAAAAAAAATATTTCTGTAAAGAATTTTTAATATTTTTTTTTTATTGCTAGTTCCAAGGAAAAGATCCTAGTGGTATTTAAGAAGAAGAACGCGTAATTTTTAATATAAAAACTCATCTTTTTTAAAGATCACAAGGCTTTCTTTTCTATCCAAAAAATAAAAAGAATAGATTAAAATATTCTAATTTAAAAAATATTATAATGGTCAACTAAAGAATGAATATTTTATTGATTTACATATTATATATTATCAAAATTTTTGATAAGATAATGTACCACTTCATTATGTCGATTTGTAAATAGAAACCCATTTTTAAGTAATACAACAAAACATTTTCATCATATTTAGCCATTAGAAACGAGGTAAAAATATATAGCAAAATATACTGCAGTGAAAATAAGGCTTATATCTTACATGTTAAAATGTATGCATACACATTTTAATTGAATATAAATATTAAAATAAACATCATTAAACACAATTTTCAACATTCTGGATTCAAGACCTGTGTCAATAAATTTCCATTTAATACATGGGATTTAAATTTATCAGTTGCTCTGCATTTTTATCACACCACTGACAAAATGACAAGGCCTTGGTTTGGATGACACAGAGTAATGTTTTGCAATCATCCTCAGCAGTGTGACTATCAATGGGATCTTGGCCGAAAATGCATCGATACAGCTTTGGTAAAGAATAAGACCCTTTTTTTGGTCTTCTCTCATTTATATTAGAATAACCGAGACCAACGGTTGTGCTGCCTGTGTCACAGACTGAAATACTGCTAGGGGTTTCTTGAGGTGGTTGTATCTTTGTTGTCCCACCTGGTTCAGGTATAAAGTTAAGCTCAGCCTGCTCTGCTGCATATATGACTTCAGCTTCACTGTTTGTTGACCAAGGACTAAAGGTGTCTGGAGTTTGGGGTGAATTGGGAGAAGGGATATCAGCAACATTATTTAAATTATTTGGATAAAGGGGCAGACTTTCACAGTTTTCATGGGAGGATATGGTTTCACTTTTTTTCACCTCATCCACACAAGTCTGATTAGAAAACAATTTTCGCTTTGTCTTGTTAGCGGCCTCATCTCTTACTATTTCCTGTTTAAGCTTTGCATTGGGCCCCTTAGATGAACTGACAGAAGATGAATACTGAGGTGTCCCTGCATCTTTTGACCACAGTTGATGGACATCTTCTGGAAATCTAGCTGGTTCACTGGGTGATACTGAGTGAAAAATGTTAGGATCAAGTGTCTCCTTATTTGCATTCCAGTTATGTGTTTCTATTACAACAGTGAATACCTGATTTTTCCTTTTATTTTTAACAAACCCTGGTTGCTTTGGAAGGCCATCTAATTCTCTGAAACCCTCCAAGCTGTCAGCACACAAAATATTTGGTGGAACAGGCTGTTCGGCATTGTTTAGCTCTGAGATGAGGAGGGGGAAATCAAAGCTGGAATAATGGAAAAAAAGGTAAATTAATGTGTACAATTTAATTTTAAAAGAAATTCTTTTACAAAACGAAATATTTATTAAAAATAATTCAATTTTTATATCAAGATTTAAGAGATAGTTGCACAGCTATAGTTAATCAAATATCCGTTCTAAATATAACTATTTAAATAATATAATTCTATACTAATAATAAGTTTGAAAAATAACTTCACTTACTCATTTCCATTGTGGGCTACAAGACAAGCTGGTTGCGGCAAAGTTGTCAGGAACGAGCAAATCAATGAAGCATGTGATTTGAAGGGGCTGTATGCTTCCAATGCATCGTTATATAATCCTGAAATGGACATATAGGAAAATGCAGAAGTATTACATAACGTAACCTTTCACCTCTAGGTATGGCTTGTCCAACTGATCTTGTCACATTTACATTTGTGTCTACTACAAAATCAAATTGAAAACTTTAGCATTTTAGAAGATTAAAAAATGTCTAAATACTTTTCTCATTAAAAAGAAAATTATGAAACTGTATCATTTAATTTGCTTGTACCTGTCAGTGAAGAAGATTCAGTCTTTATTTTCTTTTGAGGATTGAAACATAGAAGAAGCTTGTTGACAACGCGTGGTGCTCTTGATTTGGACAGAAGTTCATCTCTGAGCAATGCAATGAAACTCAGTTCAGTAATTCTTGGGTTGTTTCCTGGGCTAGGAAGTCCTGTTGTCTCCGTGTCAAATATCACAAAGGTCTTCACGGTTTGATTCATGTCTTTTTTTACAGACTACCTCTCTCAAGTAGACTAAAATTTATTGATCAGCTAAATTAAATCTGAAAAGATTTCAAATATTTCAAATTTATTGATCAGCTAAATTAAATCTGAAAAGATTTCAAATATTTCAAATTTATTGATCAGCTAAATTAAATCTGAAAAGATTTCAAATATTTCAAATTTATTGATCAGCTAAATTAAATCTGAAAAGATTTCAAATATTTCAAATTTATTGATCAGCTAAATTAAATCTGAAAAGATTTCAAATATTTCAAATTTATTGATCAGCTAAATTAAATCTGAAAAGATTTCAAATATTTCAAATTTATTGATCAGCTAAATTAAATCTGAATCATTGAAAAATAAAAATATGTCCTCACGTTCAGTATTTTTGTCCTTTGAAAACAAAAAAGAATTTGTATAAAGGGCCATCCATAAATGCAGCACTCATCTGGGGGTGGGGGGGGGGGGTACAAACTAGTGATGTTTAATGACAGTGTCTAACTTTGTGTGACAATTGGGGAGGGTAGTAACAAAAATTAGCTAAAATAGAGTTAAGGAAGATATTTATTTTTTACCAAAAAGAAAGAAAGACAAAAATAATGTAATGTGCCAATAAAAGAAGATTAAACAAACACTTTATCTGTAAAAGAATAAACAATGTTGGACATGGGGTTCATAACCAGGGGTTTACACACACACACCCCCCCACCCCCAGGGGGCACCAGAGGCAGAGCATTGATTGTAGAAAGAGCCAGATATCCTTGAAATTATTCAAAAATGAAACTAATTAATAATTACTAATCACTTAATTAATTTTTTTTCTTATCATTTATCAGATTACTGTTTTATTTATTAAAAATAATTGTTTTAGGCCTACATAAGTCCGGCCTAAATATATAGCATTAACGTACTTCAATATATTGGTATCTTCATGAAACAGTTACTTAAAATCTGCCTCACTTCTGAACTAAATAATCTGAAAATCATTAAAAATAGAATTCGTATATTTAAAGCTTAATCTCTTGCCCAATTTTCAAATTGTTAAAATAGCATTCATGTATACAAACTCTCTGTTCTCTGCCACAACTTTTTCTTGAATTCCTGCTCTTCCTCTCTAACCGACCTTCTTTCTGTCTATTCACCCCTTCAACAGCTTCACTCCACCACAGATGCGAGTATTCTTCTGTCCCCAAGACTCGCACAAAAACATACGGTAAACGGTCTTTCTCTTTTCCCAAACAATGGAATTCTCTTCCATTACACATCAGCAATATACCGACCATCACAGCCTTAAAACTGCACTCAAAACACATCTCTTTAAACTCTATTATCCTGAATGATTCCCCCTCTGACCGATAAATGATGCTGCTGGGTGCCGTCCATGATTTGACATGTAAATAGTTCTGGAATGGGTGGAGTGAATATACATTTGTTTTGTTTCATTTAATTAATGTATGTTAATTAATTTTTTAAGTTCATGATTGTTTGTTAAATTGTATGTACAGCATGGTGAGCCCAGCTCTAGGGGGTACCACGCTATATAAAACCACTAATAATAATAATAATATTTAAAGCCACATCTCTTGCCCAATTTTCATGTCTAAAAGGCTTGTGTTTTTAAGATCTATTCTCAGTTTTATAAACTTTTCCCACGCTCCTAAACTGTATTTTGGTCAAAATGAACACAACAAAACAAATATGTATTTGTATTTGAAGAAAATCTTAAAACCTATATTTGTACTATAAAATAGTATGTATCTATTTTTAAAGATTATATTTTCATGCCTGTAAATGATTGTGTTTTTCAATATTGTTATTCACATAAAAATATTCCAACCCCCCCACTTTTTTTCTTCTCGTTATTTAAAATTTTCAATGTATTTTCAGGAAATATGTACAAAAGGTTACATATTTATTAAAACAGATTGATATCCTTATAAATGTTTGTCAAACCTTGTCTTGAATTGTATATTTGGCAGAGTGGAAAAATGACAATTTCTTAGTTTTATAGAAAATCTTAGCGAATTTCTTTGCCTTTCCAGCTTCACTGAGATTTGAAGTATGGATGAAAGTATGAAAATTTGTCCACAATGTCACAATCTGTCAACGCCTTGAATTACATTTTCTGACATTACTGTAAGACATCTTTATTTATTTTGAAAAAAATCTAAAACCTCATTTTCACGACTAATATCATCGAATTTAAATTTATTCCCTAAAAGTGTAAAAGAGTACACATTCTCTTTCCTCTGTATTATTTTTACATATTAGTGAATTTAAATCTATACCAAAGTTCAGTCTGTAACATAATCGAGCCTGGAGATATTATTAAAATGTAGGCCTACCCCACATCTCTTTACCTATTTTTTTTAAACCTGAAATGTAAAAAACATAAAATGGTAAATTAAATAGTTCACACATTTATTTTAAAATATCTATATTTACTAAATTTTTTTAATTTGAAAAATATTGCTTGATCAAAAATTTACTGTTTAACTAGTCTATGTTTTAACATTAAATTCCAATTTTTTTGCTTAATAAATAGCACATTTTTTTAGTGATAAATGTACGAGTTATTAAATGTTAAAATTAATAACAAAGCTTAAACTTAAATTGTGAGTTGTTGACTAAAACATCAAAATCAATTTGTTATTGTTAGCAATTTTTTTATTTAATGTGAAAAGTTTAACATAAAGCGGCAATATAATATAATCAATATAATTTAATTTTAATTTCAGAATTTCACGAATATTTATAATTTATGCCTTTTAAACAAAATGCAATCTCACATTAAGGTTTTGGTAACCCAAGTTTTTACTAAATTACAGTAATTTTAAAATTGTATTTGCTTTCATTTCATATACTTTCAAATTAATAATAACAATACTCACAAGGGTGTCTGAGATGTTAGCATTCATTGTGTCCAATTCCCTTTTATTAGTTTTATTATGCCTTCGGGAAAACCAAAAATATATTAATTAATTAATTAATTATAATAATAATAATAGTTATTTCGCTTTCAAAGTCAAAGATGTATTAAAATATTTTAACTCTGTCAAGAAAATTTAAAGATTGGGATTGGTCTGTTTAAAATAAAGTTCTAATAAGATTATTCTAGAGTGTTTAAGCGAACATTTTAATTTGATATCGTTTGAAGTAATCTTGTCAGTAAACATAAATTCAAATTTAATTTCGCAATATTAACAAAGCAATAAATAAAACAGCAGATGTTTGGGTTTTCCCGATCAATGAGGTGTACGCGGGCCTGGGTCCAAAGTTTTATCTAGGTACAACGCCACGTGTACGCAGCCACTTCCATGAGATAATGAATTACTATTAATTATAGTTAAATGATAATTTATAATAAAAATATTATCGATACTTTTTAATTTGGATTAAATGCTAAAGATAGTTCTTTAATTGTTATTTAAATGTATTTCTAAATTATAATAATAATATTTAAACATAAAATTAAATATAAGCAGATGTATTTTATTAAATTTATTTTTATCTTACTAAAATTTATTCGAATTCCTTAAAATAAAAGAAAAAATCACTATCTTTGTTTTTAAGTATCCGAACGTATTTGTCGGCCTAGCTCATTCTTATATAATAACTAGCCAAAATGCACGGCTTTGCCCGGGATCGCATTCACAAAATCAACATTTTCTATAGCTTTTTAAATAACTTTAAAATTAAAGTCTATGTAAAAAATATAAAATAAAAATTAATTTGTTGTTATAATAATTTTTTTTAAAATCGTTCGTTCCCTGATGGGATCCCAATCCCGGAGGAATCCCAATCGGATCTGTTCCCCGATAAGTCCGATAAGAGTCATAAGAGCCTGTTTTCCGATAGTATCCCGTTTCCTTGAAGGATCCCGACCGCGTCCGGATTCCATTCTGGTGGGATTCCGAAACAGGTGGGATCCTGATCCTTGTGGGTTCCCATCTTGTCAGGATCCCGTTTCTCGGTGAGCTCCCAATCCAGTCTACATCCCGATCCCGGTGGATCTCGATTTGATCACTATCCCGGTGAGAGTGCCCAGCCATGTTCGGATCCCGTCTCCCGGTGGGTTCCCGATCCTGCATAAAAAATGCTCATCATACATTTTCAATACAAACATATTGTTATCACAAATATGCGCCCAGCCTTATCCTCGCCCCCGTTTCTGCATCTTTGAAAAAATGGGAAATATCCTTAGTTTCAAAGAAAAAATCTATTTCACGGGTTTTCCCGCTTTTTAAGTCCATTGAGTTTTGAGGTACGGTATGGAGTATGGGTAAACTTACGTAAATTTCCCCACAATATTTCAACGCCCTTGAGATGTTTACTCTGACAATGGTGAAAGCAATGAAATATTATATATAGGCCTACGCTCAGTGGCGTAGCTAAGGTTTAGTGCCGCCCATTGTGGCCGAAGATTGTTATCGCCAGCTCCATACAAAAGATCTACGGTTGACCGAAGCCGAAAGTCTGCCACTCAATAAATTTAGTCCCGAATTTATACCTTTTCTACAAAATAGTATCTTTTCTCTCGTTTGTACTGGTACTGGTAACATTTAGAAATATTAAGGAAAAGTTATAACTATGAATGCTTTTGTGATTACCACTTTTTGTGTATAAAAATATAGAATATATAATTTAGGCCTATTAATAAAAGTATTGAAAGAGTGAACGAAAAAAATAGCTTACATAAAAAATAATAAATCAACATTAGTATTTAGTAACAACGTCCAATATAGTCAAGATAGTATAATTTGTATAACAACAACTAGGTCTAGAGATCACTTATATATTCTTAATATAGTATCTGTATAAAACAAATTAGGTCTAGAGATAGGTACTTATATTTTTTTGATTACGATTAGTGTGGAATGATGCAATACTAAAATTAGGTATATCTAATTAGAGTTTATCTGGGGTAGGGCTCAATAAGCCCTTTCCCCTCTCTAGACCGCTCCCCTTGCTTTCACCCGGGAGCCATCGACGCCCTCGATTTCTGCTTTCAATTCACCTACGCCGATCAATGTGACAGTACGGGGTGAAACCTGGGGCCTGAAGAATACCATGGGGTGCGCCACAATGAAGTGAATCCAGGTTATGTATGACACCGGATACCATAATGCCTAATTTTTGCACTGACAGAAAAGACCCAGACCCCCCGAAAACTCTGAAATGTCCCCTCCATGTATCATATTTTCTTACCACCTCTACCCACTTTTACTCGGGAGTCAAATGCATGTTAATATTTAAAATAATTTTCTTGAGGCGACAAATATATTATTATTATTTACTCTTAATTGTGTATATAACTAGTCAACAATGGCGTAGCGAGGGTGTTTGGCGCCCGGGGACAAGATCCATTTTAAAGCGCCCCCTTTTCTTTCTTTCA